GCAAATGAGAAATGTGTGATAAATGAGCGGCGCTTAAGTGCTCAAGGATACAAGAACTGCTTGCCACAGGCAGGCAGCAGCCAGAAAATTATTATCCCGCACAACACACACACACACACACACACACACACACACACACACATACACGCATTTGGCTTGTGCGCTTAAAGATATGAGTACAAATATAGGACATATGGGATATATATGCATACAGATAAACCACGCACATTGACTGTCTGCTGTTTAATTGCTTTTAGTCGCTTTAAGGAAATATTTCGGCATGACCAACCTATATTGGTTTATATATATATAGCGCATAGTTCAGTTAAGAATTGTTTCGGTTGCCACTTGACGAAAGTGTTGCATTTATCAGGCTTAGGCAGTTGGATGCTCGAGAACAGCAACATAATTAATGAGATCTCAAATGACGCTAATGGGCAGCTGTTGAAGTGTGTTTGCTCTCAGTTCAAGTTCTTAGCACCGGTTTTGAGGTCAAGCAGCTGACTAATACCACGATTAATCTAGCCTTAAAAGCTACTTACCTAAAAGTATCTTTTGGACGCAATCCAAAGAGATTTCAAGTTCTTATCGCTTATCTCTTTCCGTCACTCTCTCTCTATATATACATATATATCTTTTTTTAAATATACCCTATTTGTAGGGAATAAATGTAGATAATTTGAATGTAATTTATTTAAGTTTCTATTTTTAATTAAATGAAATGTATTCTTTTTTTCTGTGTCGATTGATATCTGAAAATCAAGCTATTTACATTTATAGTTTGCCGCAAAATTAAAAAGGCTGCATCAAGGATATAAATCATAAGAATAATTTAGCTGACAGTCATTTAAAATAACTGCACCAACTTAATTACAAACTGCCCACAACTAAGTTATGGGCGAATGAGTACGACAATTTGTAATTATATATTTATGCCAAGTCGCATTGACTGTCCAAATAAACAGGTTTATAAGCTAAATGCGCCAAACGCATTGCCAAGTTGTAGAAAATCAGCAAGCCTAAAATGGAGTGCAACAAAGTTGGGGAAACCAAACCAACAACATCAATGGGCCATGAGAAACTTTTGCTGCAACACTTTAAATTTGGCTTGCAAGTGGCATGCGGCAAGTGGAACATTTTATGTGGCTCGTTAGAAGCCGCAAAGTTCATGAAGCGCGCAAGTTGCCACTGGGGCAAAGTTAGCATAGTAGCGCCAAGTGAAGTGAAGTAAATGCAAATTGGAATTAAAATATCTTCAAAGTGCCCACAAGCACTGATGCATATGTAAAAATTAATTAAGCCCAAGAAGTTGGCTAACCAATTCAACAATTGACACACGTAATTGATGAGCCATTGACAGATGCTGCAACAAAGCAAACTAGCAATTTTAAAATAAATAACAGTATTCAAGTCCAGAGTGCCCGACCAAGAGATACCCTGTATCCAGCCCATGTGTGAATAATCCAAATTGCAAAATCAAAATGTAGGCTAAAGGTGAAATATCATCTATCAAGTTGTGCCCAAAAATCTAGAGTCCAAAATAAATACTCCTCTTTATTTTCAAAGGGATAAGTAATCGTATACACAATACTTCTCTAGCTTTTTTTAAACAGGGTGCAAAGGGGAAAACATTTAAGAAAATGCAACACACATGCAATAAAAAGACCTCTGTGAAAATGTATTTGTGTGTTGCCACATCTTGACCTCATAGTGCCTTTATAAATGCCTCTTGGTGCCACATGCGAAGCATAAATCCTTTTGAGGCATGCAACAACAGCAGCAGCAACAGCAACTTCTGGCAAATGAATGTATCTTATGCTTATTTTGTTTTAGTGGGTGGGTGTGGTGTGGTTGAAGAAACCCTAGTAAATGTAATGAGCTAAATTATTATGCAAACGACGGCTGCATCATAAGTCGGTATGTGTGTGAACATCACACACACACACACACACAGACATAAACCAACAACACTTGGAAATGTGTGCCGGGGACAAGCAGCTCCGGAATCTTATGAAACTGATGATCATCCTGATGCTGATGATGATGATGAAGGAGCTGCAGCTGCTGCTACACTTAGTGCAAGTGTCACTTAAAGCACTTGCAATTGTTAAAAGCACCAAAGCACCTTATAACATTTCCTCAGCCCCCATTTATTTCCCCCCAACGTCCTACCCCAAATAATGCTTCACATATTATTCATGACATTTTGCACATTATAATTGGCTAGTTTCACATTTGAAAGCACAGCGATTCCATTGACTTTATACAACAGGTGCGCAAATTGATGAGTATTGACAAAAGGCCAATTTGTTGAAAACACATGAGAAACTTCTATTGACATGCTATCAAGCGTCAACAAACAAAGGCCATTAAAAAAAAGAACATTTTATACGGGAAATTGGAGACTGTTGAGAATTGCAACAATTGATATGTAATGTGAGTTTGTAGTGCAAAAAGAGGATATCATTAAAGGCATTTAGAGATATAATTAAAGAATTTGAAACCGATTGAAAAGGTTTCAAATATATATAGATGTAGAACACATGGTTAATCAATAACATACCGTATTTGAAAGTTGAGCATTTATAATTTTCAGGAACTATGATTGCTATCTTTTTTATTAACTTCATTCATTTTTACTGCTTTTATTTTTGTTAGACTTTAAGGAGATTATTATAACTTGGGGTTTATATTTATTCAGAGCTTTGTATTTAATACAGAATATATGTCCGCTTCATGCGACTTATACTACGCGATTCAAGCGACCAAAAGCGACTGACTCTTACTTCATGAAAATAGCTTAAACATAGCATCGAAGAAGGTCTTGATCATAAGGAACTTACAATTACCGTTGCTCGCAGGCAACAACAGATTAAGACTACAAAACGGGAATGCAAGACATGCTGCGGTGTACATAGGCAAATACAGTTATTTCCAACAATAGTATTATAACTTGGGGTTTATATTTATTCAGAGCTTTGTATTTAATACAGAATATATGTCCGCTTCATGCGACTTATACTACGCGATTCAAGCGACCAAAAGCGACTGACTCTTACTTCATGAAAATAGCTTAAACATAGCATCGAAGAAGGTCTTGATCATAAGGAACTTACAATTACCGTTACTCACAGGCAACAACATATTAAGACTACATAACGGGAATGCAAGACATGCTGCGGTGTACATAGGCAAATACAGTTATTTCCAACAGAGAGTATATAAATTCAGAAAATCTAATAGTTAAGAGCTAATGGTTCAGAGTTAAGTCAGTTAAGATTTTTATAACTCTTTTGCCTTTTCCCTCACACAATTGCACAATTGAGCACTTAACCCACACAATAATGTTAGCGTAAAGCCTTTCCTGTTTTGCTTGCTTTTATTTAGTAATATCTTTTGGTTTTGAAGAAAAATACATATTTGTACACTTAAATATATATACTTGTGTCTCTTAGTTGCCATGCCCATCCAGCTGAAGCTTAAATTCTGTTTCGCTTATTTAATAAATAGCTGTCTTCGGCTTCTTCAGTCGTTGTACTATAGTATATTTTGTGTCCTAAACTAAGCTGGCTGCAGGAATTCATTTACCGTCGTTCACTTGGATGTCATCTATTTTTATGCGCCCTTCTTTTTGCCTCTTTTCAAGTGGGTTCTTTCATCCATTCCGGTTGCCATTCGCGCTGCTCTTTAATCTCACTATTCGGCTCAGTGCGACACCCATTTTTATTCCCTTTCCATCGGCTATGTGGAGCATTTCCTTTGGCTGAGCTGCAGTTCTTGATGCAACAGCAATTCACTTAACTTACTCAAGTCGTTGTCGGCATAGCTTCCGCTGCACATTCCACTCCTCAACAAAAATAGAGAAAAAAAAAAATGAAGAAAAAATCACAATACTTGGAAGTAGACGAAGCGAACTTAAATCCTGGCAGGATAGTCATCATCCCACACGCTGAGCTCTGCGCTTAGTGTTTTAATGCCAATGCTCACACATTTTATACAATTCCTTATATGTGTATACATTTCGAAATCCGTTAGCTAATGCAGTTGTGCGTTTTATTCAACCATTGAGCCAAGAGGGGAGTGTTGCATGGTGGTAATTGTGTGGGTCGAGTTACTTGTTAGCTGTAATGCGAATGCTAGACGAAGTCGTAATAATCTACTATAAATAAAAATAATATTGATATTGATATTTACAATTGCCAACACTACAACGTATGAAACTGCAAATCTGTGCCAATGATGTGAAAATCTCTGGAAATTCTCATAGAATTTGTTGAATTGAGACTGAGCCTCTTGAGACACTCAAGAGCCTGAAACAGTCTGGAAAGTTTTCGTGTTTAAATAGATTTTGTCTGTTGAATGTGGAACGATGTAGATACTTGTATTACATACACATTTAAAGAAATAAGTAACTTACAAAGCTTTTAATTAACTAAAATTATTTCATATTAACTAGAACAGCTTGAAATAATTTTCAATTGCTTAGGTAAAATATAATTAAAACATTCTTTAAATTTATTTCTTAATTCGATGAGTGTAAGCCAAACCTTAAAGTTTTAATATGTTATTTGCTTTATTTATTATAATTGTTAAAAGAAAATGTATTGAATAGTTGCATTTACCATGAAAACGAAAACCTAACTACTAAAAAGGTTGTGATTACGATCTGAAGCAGAAAAGAACTTTCAGTTGAGTAAACAGTCATCTATTTACCATTTAGCATATGCAGTGTTAACTAGAAGTTCATTAATCTTTTGTAAGACTTTTATGATCTTTAGTGAAATTGATTTTTAAGTAGATCAGTAAGCTGGCTGCTTCAACAAGTGACAATCTGTTAAATACTTGCTAATTGAACTGGTCAAAAAACACTTCAACCCTCCTTGCTTTCTTTGTTACTTAAGCAAATGGAAAGCGTAAGCGAACACCCCAAAGAAAGTGATCACATCGCTGGCAGGTGTGAGAATTCGAGAGTTATTCTGGATCAGTTGCGCATTAGATCTTCAACCTGCTACTTCAGAATCTGCCGTCATGTACAGAGCAATCCTAGTTTTTTATTTCACAACTCTGGCCATATCCACAGGCTTGAGTAGCGATAATAATCATAGTCTCAAACGCTTCGGCAGATCTCTGCTATTTCCAGCTACCTCACCGACCCGTGTCCAGTTCATTGGCGGCATTGGCATTCCCGTCGAAGATCTGCCTTTCGAATCCGTCACCTCGGGCTATGTGCTAAAGACGGAGTATTTTCTGCCAACTACCGCTCAGGAGATAACCAGAGTTTACTTCAAGCCCCAACCCATTACGGCTAGGAAGGATATCCTACAAACAAATGAGCCGATCAACACGGGCTCCATTTACCGCTGGGTTCTCTATCGAGGCATCGAGATGGTCCTGCAGAACATTGACCTACCCGGTCGCAGTTGCCTGCTCCGCGTGATCTGTGAGCATGCTGCGCTGCCCTTGACCCATGAGAGTGGTCTACTTGGCGAGCTCATCCACATTGTGCTAACCCCATCGAGCTCCACGGATCGATATGCTCTGCACTCGGATCGGGAATACCTAACCGCAGAGCGTTTTGGCAAACGTGGCGGCAACTGTGAGGCTGCCTATAGCAGAAAGTGTCCAAAATCTGCGCTGGCACTGATAACAACTATGCTGTGAGTGTGCTGAAAATAAACATGGAGTTGATTTCAATTTTACAACGTGTATTTTAATGATGGACAAATATATACCAGCTGATCAGATGATGCATAATTAGTTTGGTTAGATCTGTTAGGGTGTACTTCTGAGGTCTTCAATGGGGCACGTCATGCATCTACCTCAAATCGTAAAAACGTGAGGACTGAGGCACAAATATGATCTCAATTTGTGCTCCATGTGTCGTCGAATTTTGTAACGTGGAATGGGGCATTCTAGGAGTGTTATGCACCTTCATTTATTATTATCAGCAGAGCGATTTGGTGAAAGATTGAATAGACTAGAAGTTATCGTCAATTCAATAAATACAGTTCAATCTATCATTTATATTCCGAATACTAATGTTATTATTGACAAAATACGAATAAATATAAGTAATGAACAAACAAATGAACAAATTTTTGGGACATGCAGAAATTGCTTTGCTGATTACGTTTAACATTTAATTTTAAATTATTCATAGCCACAAAATGGTTCATTATCTATGGCAATTATTTAAAATATTTAACAAATTATAAAGTTATTTATGCCTGAGGACTGACAAATGTATTTAGTTTTAATTTCGCACAGCCATTTCAGTGTTGTATTATTGCTGTCAATGACATTTGGCATACATTTCACATATCAAACTGACAAACATTGTCACAGCTATTTGCTGTTGTTGTTTTTGTGGCTGTTGTTGTTCTTGCATTGGTCTGTTTAAATCACGTATGTATCTATGTTGGTGAAGGTGTGATAATTACAAAGTTGATAAACATTTTAATTAGTTTTGGCAGTAAGTGTGATCCGCATAGCAATCAGCATCATTGTAATATAACACATGTGTTATTTGGTTTAATGTGTGTGTGTGTATGTGTGTGTGCGTGTCTGTGACTGTGACAGCGCTTAATAAACATGATTAAATTTAAATGGTAAATATAATTTATATGAATTAAGTAGCGCCTACATGCGAGTAATACAAATTTATTTCAACGCCTCTCTCATTAGTACACATTCAGTACACGTACAACCCCGTCGCACACACCTCCACGCCTGGCACGCCCACTGGTAATGGGCTTAAATACTCTGGCACGCAATCGCCTTGACCATGTCCATGTCCCAAACTCACACAACCGTAAAATAATTACACACATTGAATAAATCGCGACATGAAACAGAAACAGAACATCACATTCAACTCCTGCTATGAGGAGGTTACTTACACTGGCTGTCAAGGCGGTCCAGACTGGACAGGCTGGACAAACTCGAATCGTTTGCTTTTGGCATTTCAATGCCGTTGACCAAATGGATTTAATATTAATTAGCTGGATGACAACGTACAAGGCAAGTCAATCGACAAAATCCTTCACAACACATTGCGCATACGCCCTGTGACTGGGTGGTTTATCAGATGGTAAATTAAAGCAAAATATTGCTTGGTAAACACAGCCGTAAAGCCTCGTTTGTTGTGCTCAAACATTTTACCCCATTTTTACCCCTTTTCCTTCGGCTATGTGGAGCATTTCCTTTCGCTGGGCTGTACTTTATGATGAAAGAGCAGTTCACATAACTTACTCAAGTGACGACTTCACAAATGTGATTTAAACAGACCAATGCAAGTACAACAACAGCCACAAAAACAACAACAGCAAATAGCTGTGACAATGTTTGTCAGTTTGATATGTGAAATGTATGCCAAATGTCATTGGCAGCAATAATACAACACTGAAATGGCTGTGCGAAATTAAAACTAAATACATTTATCAGTCCTCAGGCATAGATAACTTTATAATTTGTTAAATATTTTAAATAATTGCCATAGATAATGAGCCATTTTGTGGCTATGAATAATTTAAAATTAAATGTTAAACGTAATCAGCAAAGCAAAAGCAATTGAACATTGCATTTGTTCATTATTTATGTTTATTCGTATTTTGTCAATAACAACATTTGTATTTATTGAAACAACGATGACTTCCATTCTGAATTCTTCTTCTGAACTTTTAGATAGAGAGTTCTCTATTCTGAATTCTTATTTGATTAATTCTTAATAAATAATTCCACGTTAATGCTTTACACTCTTTCTTAAACTAAACGTTTTTACTAATTTTTAATTATTTCAATTTTATTTTTAATTGTTTAGCAATCTGTCCTTTATGGTAACACAGAAGGAAAAACATTATCTCTCACCGAATCACTCTGCTGATTATTTTCAGCACACTCACAGCATAGTTGTTATCAGTGCCAGCGCAGATTTTGGACACTTTCTGCTATAGGCAGCCTCACAGTTGCCGCCACGTTTGCCAAAACGCTCTGCGGTTAGGTATTCCCGATCCGAGTGCAGAGCATACCGATCCGTGGAGCTCGATGGGGTCAGCACAATGTGGATGAGCTCGCCAAGTAGACCACTCTCATGGGTCAAGGGCAGCGCAGCATGCATGCGGAGCAGGCAACTGCGACCGGGTAGGTCAATGTTCTGCAGGACCATCTCGATGCCTCGATGGAGAACCCAGCGGTAAATGGAGCCCGTGTTGATCGGCTCATTTGTTTGTAAGGTATCCTTCCTATCCGTAATGGGTTGGGGCTTGAAATAAACTCTGGTTATCTCCTGAGCGGTAGTTGGCAGATGATACTCCGTCTTTAGCACATAGCCCGAGGTGACGGATTCGAAAGGCAGATCTTCGACGGGAACGCCAAAGCCGCCAATGATCCGTAGACGGGTCAAAGAGGCAGATGGAAATATCAGAGATTTGCCGAAGCGCTTGGGATAATGATTATTATCGCTACTCAAGCCTGTGGACATGGCCAGAGTTGTGAAATAAAAAACTGGGATTGCTCTGTACATGACGGCAGATTCTGAAGTAGCAGGTTGAAGATCTAATGCGCAACTGAGCCAGAAGAACTCTCGAATTCTCACACCTGCCAGTGATGTGGGCAGTTACGCTTTCCATTTGCTTAATAACAAAGAAAGAAAGGAGGGTGGAAGTGTTTTGTTTTAACCAGTTCAATTAGGAAGTAGTTCACAGATTGTCACTTGTTGAAGCAGCCAGCTTACTGATCTACTTAAAAATCAATTTCACCAAAGATCATAAAAGTCTTACAAAAGCCTAATGAAATTCTAGTTAACACTGCATATGCTAAATGTTCTCGAAGCCTCGTTTGTTGTGCTCAAATATTTAATGTTTATCTTTAATGCCCCCATAAGAACAAAAAGTCGTTCTCTCTGTCTGCCTTTATATTTGTAAACTTTTGGCAACATCAAAAAATAACGATATGATAATTGAAATTAAGCAGCTAGAACAAAAGTCGTCTCATATGCACTACTCCGATAGCTGAGTGCCATCTGCGTCCGTTCCAAGGCCACTCGAAATAAAGAAAGGGTTAAACATATTTGGTAAATTATTTAGCCAAATGCAAATGAAATTCTGTCTACTTTATTCTGCATGTACACTAAAGTGGAGATAGCTTTTACACAAATTTGGAAGTAACCAGCCACAAGGGTTTCATGAAATGGTTGTTACAATTTTTATTATGGCACGCTGCCAGTATCTCTATCTGTACACTGTTGAAGAATATACATAATATTTCTTTATTCTTTAAATAACAATATAATAATTATAACAATATGTATTTTTCATAATTATATGATAATCCGCTCAGCAAGCATATACTGACTGATATAACAATTAACAAATTTTCACATTGTACTCAATTTAAAATGTGACCTCAAAAATGTTTTAAATATTTTTAGGAGTTCATCATAACTTCAATTCAACTGATAAGCTATTCATTCCCTTGACGTATAGTAAAGGCATGTTGACCTCATGTTTTGAGTATGCCAACTCTAGAAAATAGCTGACTAAACTCAAAATCCTTTTACGCAAGCAAATTGTTGGGGGTATGGAAGGAGTTGAATGTCAAAGATTTGTAATTTTGTAGTGTGAAATTTATGGGCAGACGTTAAAGATAAACGTACTGTCATTGATTAACGAGTCGTTGTCGGATTTCTGGCCAGCAACAATGAGTGCATGGACTATGTGTTTGTGTTTGGGTTTCTTTTTTTTTTTTTGTGTTTTTTTGAAAACATTTTGACTGGAAATGATTGCGTCGAAAACTTAAGAGATAAAACTCTGAAAATGGGAAGCGCACATAAATCAGTAGGTAAATGTGACTTCCTCAGTGGCAACTCTGACTTTGTCGAACACTTGACGCGCAACAGGGAGGCGCAAAAGGACCACCTGGCCTGTCCTGTCCTGTCCTGGCTTGGCTCGTCCTGACCTAAGTGAATGCTGCACGGACGAAGGTAAAAGGACCAAAGTCCAAATGCAGCCAGCCCGGCCAGATCAGAAAGAAGCTCTCGCTGTGCTGGAGGCAGTGTGCCATGGCTTAACGGAGAGAGAAAGAGAGAGAGAGAGAGAGGGAGAGAGAGAGAGATAGACGGAAAGGACGAAGGACGAAAGACGAGTGCACATAGATTGGCAACATTTGATGGCAAAAGTTAGACTCACATTTATCTTTCGTGCAAGTGTCACTCGTGAGTTTCTTGAACCACAGCCAAGAGACTACTGCCGCAGATAAGAACAGAGGGGATGCGAGAGGGGTCGGAAATAAGAGACAGAGCTTTTGCGCAACAACAAAACAAACAGCACGTACTACTGCAACAACAACAATAACAGTCGCTGCTGGCAGCTCAAGAGCAACAAAGTGGCAAAGAGTCAATGTTATTAAATTTTGTGGCACAACCTTAAAAATTGGCTTTAAAGTTGACATTGACAAATGAACTGACGCAGTTCCGCCACCGGAACACCAATTACCCAGCAGCACATTTAATAAACAATTGTTGCTCGTATTGCTGGCCATTTAATTGCCGTAAATGTAGCCCTTCCAATCCAGGTTAAATACTGGGATAAATGCCGTCGTTTAATGCAGCAGTTCCTCCTGACTTTTACCGATTGCCACAATTTACTTGTTGCGGTCCCTTATGCACTTTAATAAAAGGCCCATAATTGCCCCATTCACAATGATTTATTCTTTTACGTAAATTTATCGAATATTCATTAATTTTGTTGTATAATTGGAAGGCTAAAGTAAATGGAACTGTTAATGCTATTTAATACTTCGCTGACATTTGCGTACAAATAATAATGGAGACATTAAGTTAACGACTTAAAATGAAGGAACAAAATCAAATAAAGCATTTGACAAATCTGGGAGCATTAAAATGTGATATTATTCAACATGTATTACAAGAATTGAAGAAGCCCAGAAATAAGCCACTCATAAAAACAATTTTTAAGCGATTGTAGTTTATTAATAAGGAAAGTAACAGAATGGGACAGAAAATAAAGGAAAATCTCTAAGCCTGTGGAGCAAGATAAGATACCACAGCTAAGCATTTTCCGAGAGAGTTTTATTGTGACTGCGGAAAATATGGCTTTGTATGATTTATAAGTGGCACGAATAAAATTATTTTATTTTGATGTACATAGATAAATGATTTTTATGTTAAAAGAGGAAGGAGTCCAGTAAAATTATGAATAGTGTCTGTTAAAGCATAATCAGCAGTTAAAGCAATGTTTTAGTAAATTAACTACCCTCAAAATATTTAAGACTATTAAAAAAAACGTCTGGCAATGAAAGAAATCATTTCAATCAAAAATAATAAATAAATAAATGTTTTCTTAATACCGCATTATCGAATAAATGTTAAATATTTGGAAATATTGAGTAACAGAGCAGCCAAAACGGCCACATGACTCCTCAATTAGCCAACAACTGCTTAACCACTTTAGCCGCCCTCCCATTTACCGCAGCTGATTCACCTGATGCTCTGTTGCTGAGTATTGAGCAGCACCTGGAAACCACAGCATCAATTTCCGATGCTTCATATAAAAGTCATCATATTCGCTGTTAGGTTTCGCATCCGTTCTTGGCAATTTGAATGAATGACAAGGTAACTTCCATTCCCTAGACCAAAACCAGACTCCCCAGATGCCAGATGGGGGCTGAGTCCTGATTTCCCAGTTCTCAGTAATTGTGTTGCATTGATGTAATGACAGAATGTTACAACTCGAACTTAACGTTTGCCATTTACGCGGTGCGTTGACAAATTGGCTGTTGATGCCGTAGTTGTTATTGTTAGTGGTTGTTGTTCTTGTTGTTGTCGTCGGTATTGTTGTTTGCTATTTTGTTGTATGTGATTAGGGGCGTGTACCTAGCAAATTGGGCGGCGGTGCTACAGAGTTTATGTTTCATGTTGTTGTCTACTCTCCTCCCCTCTCCTATCATCTCCTCTCCCATTTGAATTGCTCTCGTGCGCTTTGATTTATGTGGCATTGAGTAATTTACAGTCTCGCAAAGACGAATAACTAAGGTTGTCAGTTTAGCGTAAATTATGGACACGCATATAATGCAGCAGCTTAACTTGGCCCTAATCACTCGCAACAATGTTAGCGGAACTAAATTTTGGCAGTTTATCAGATTTATTACGTATGTATGCATTTCTCCACAGAAGTAACTCGGCACTTAAGTATCCTATAAATAAAATATAATATTTCTATATACATATTGACAATGAATATATTATTATTTTATTTTTCCGACATAAATCGACAAGCTTTGTTGTATTTCTGTGTAATCAGTGGACCCGCCCAACCAAATATGATTTTTTTCATTGCCAGACATTTATTTACGAGTCAAACATTTTTTGAGGGCTATCATGACTTTAACTGTTCAGTTTGTTTTAAATCATACTAAGCATAATTTGAGTGAAGTACTTGTTCCTCTATTAACACAATAAGCACTTTGCAATTTGAATCACATCGCTTCTTCATACGCATTGTCTGTGCTTATTAGCATAATAAAGTAGCAACAGCAGCAGTTCGTGTTGCAAATAAGATATTTCTATACACAGTTACGACATTACGTGATAGCAACACGTCGTATGCGCAATATTAATTATTCAACGAGACGACCAGGCGGAGCGGGTAGTTGAAAGTCATGGAGAGATGGGCGCTTCTTCATTTCGCCATCTGATTTTGCAGTGTTGAATTGTGAATGTTTAAAGTTGAATGTTGAATGTTGAGACACAAACACACGATGCGGCAATAAACGTGCAATTTTCTCAAAATTACAAAAATGTGAGCAAACATTTTATTTGCGCTTTTAACTTTGTTGCCAGTTTGCCAGTTTGCCAGTTGCCAGTTACCCGTTGCTGACTGCCGCCTGTATGCGAAATGGCATAAATCTTTTGGCAATTCTTACCGCCAGCTGGCTTTTCTTTTATTTTCATTTCATTTCGCCTGCTATATATACAAATATGTATATGTATATCTCTTTTTTTCGGGCTGTGCGTGCTGCAGTGACAAGAATTTGAATAATTCGCCAAATGTGCCAAGTTGAAATGTTAAAATTCCCAACGACTTTGGCCGTTGTCGGATGTTGGCAAGCGTCTGGCTGCTTCCGGTTCGGCAAAACTGAAGTCACGACTGCCAAATGATTGCAAATGAACGACACAGCATGGTGCCCCCGGGGGTGTGCATAGGGGCGTGGCAGCGACTTGAAACTTTCGCGCCTCTGCTCATTCCCCCTCGCTAAGCTAAATGCATCGTTAAATTTATAGCTGCGACAACAATTATTTAACGCAATTTCGCTAATGCGTCGTAGCCAAGAAAACAAACAAAAAAACACACAAATACAGAAACGTTGCCTCTCATTACAAGAGGGGAGCCAAAGGAAGCTCCTTGATTGGCTGCCTGCAGCCCATTAATTTTTTGCCATCTTCGCGTTGCATTTTCTTTTGCACCGTCTCAAGTAAATGACATGTTTCCCAACTGGTT